CTGATGCCTTCCCTGCCCTTCCCTGCCCTCCCCTGCCTCTCTGGGCCTCCCACCCCACCTCCTGACCCATCTGTGAGTCCCCCACCACCTGCCCCCTGCCCACTCACCTGGGCATTCCAAAAGGTCTGGCAACTGTTCACAAACACATAACGGCAGGTGTGGCCCCCAGTGCCTGGCACGACCATCCGGAAGGTCTCGCTCTCCATGGGGCAGGGTGGCTCTGGCTCCCCAGACTCCACCTTGCCCTGTTCATTTCGTATCTCCTGCTCCAGGGCACCCGCATCTGGGTGGGTGCACACACCAGTGGACCCTTCCAGCCCCAAGACAGATCTCAGCCCTGGAACAATCCATGGATACAGGGGGTTGGGAGGGGCCAGGGGACCCTGGTGTCCGGGCTGCTGAGGGTTGGGGAGTCATTGGGAGTTTAGGGAATGCTGGGGTCTGGGATGAAGAGGGTCGGGGGAGATTGTGGGGTCAGGGAACCCAGGTGGCCAGCCCAGAGTGGGGCTGTGGGTCGGTGAGAGCACAGATCGGGGGGTACTGGAGCCCTGTCCTGTCCTTGCTGGGGTCTGACCCAACCCAAGCAGGGTGTGCGAGAGGGGAGGTTCCCATTGGGGATTTGGCCTATAGGTCAGACACCCCCTTGGGGTGGGAGAAGTGCTATTGCCACAGGGACTTGGGCCCCAGAACTTACCGAGCTGGTGAGCAGAGACGGCCCCTAGCAGGGCAAGTGACAGGACCAGGGACAGCTTCATCTTGGGTGGAGCTGGGGGGTGAACTGCTGTGAGACTCAGATTGACCCCCCCAAATTCCTCCCACCCTGCCACAGGATATAAGAACCAAGTGCACTGAGCAATACCAGGCCTCTCTGGGCTTCAGGGGCCAAGAATGAGGCCTCACAAGCTCAGGCTGAAGGGCAGGAGCTGAGCAGGCCCTGGGGTCAGGCTGGGATTTGCCCCAGCCACAGAGAGATGAATTATGGGAGTCACCTCCTCAGGGCATCTAGTGCTGGCTGCTGAGAGCCAGGAGTGATGCCCTCCCCCCGGCACAGATCCCCGTCACCTCCCCCAGGGGCGAATGAGAGTGCCGCGGGGCCCTGGGCAGCGAAATTTTGCGGGGCCCCTCCTTTGACACGGCACATGCGCAGGGCCTCGGGAAGCGCAGGGCCCGGGGCAGCCGCCTCGCTCGCCCTGCCCTAAATCCACCGCTGCTACACAGGAAAGAGAAACCCATGGCTGGGCCCGGG